GAGAGAGAGGAACATTCGTCTTTTTGAGTTGCCAGAGATCAGATACTGGTCACATTTCATCCCAAAATCAAAAGTAAAAGAAATAACACAGACAACAAATTGAGCCTATTTGAAGGACTATTAAGACACATTGTGACATTTTTCATGACAATAAAGCACAATTTATACCTAAATGCAACAATCCTCACAGTAACTGTATTGCAGAAATACTATACTCTAATATAGTATGCATTTCAATATTATCAAGTACAACCACAACACAATGACAAATAAATATGTTACAAATAACATTAAGGAATTCTTTCACAGAATATGTGAAATTTGGGGAGATTGTCATGAAAATGCCAAATCTAAAAAAATTCTTAACGGTCATAAAAAAATATGTATATATATATATTTCTTTTGATTTTGAGATGAAAAACAACCCTGATATGTTCTTGTTAGGTTTTGTGAGATCCACTTGATAACTCTTTCCTGTGAGAAATAAAAATGTCTACCTCTATAAGGGGCGCCTACTGACTGAGTCGAATCCTTAAATCTCAAGACATTTCTTTTACTTATTGCTGACAGTTATAGGGTATAAAGTAATTTTGTCTATTAATTACTTACTTGATATTATCCTCTCCTGCAATCTTTATGAAATGTTTTTTTTTTAAATCCTTGTCCAGTAATCACAATTGAGCCTTCTTGAATATGTCTATGTGTTTTAGCAGTAACAAAAATGTACTCCTAAATAATAACAGAATGAGACAATTCAATTAGCCACTGAATTGATACTAGCAAAACTAGAGTAAGCTAGTTTATAAACTCTTAACACCAGATCATTATATAGCCAAATACATGCATGTGCGAATGCTCTAAAAAAATATATTAAACATTTGATTAGGAATATAATTTGTGACCCTGGAGCACAAAAGCAGTCTTAAGTCACTTGGGTATATTTGTAGAAATAGCCAAAAATACATTGTATGGGTCAAAATTACAGATTTTTCTTTTATGCCAAAAAATCATTAGGATATTAAGTAAAGATCATGTTCCATGAAGATATTTTGTAAATGTCCTACTCTAAATATACGAAAACTTAATTTTTGATTAGTAACATGCATTGCTAAGAACTTCATTTGGACAACTTTAAAGGCGATTTTCTCAATATTTAGATGTTTTTTGCAGCCTCAGATTCCAGATTTTCAAATAGTTGCATCTCGGCCAAAATAAACAAACCATACATCAATGGAAAGCTTATTTATTCAACTTTCAGATGATGTATAAATCTCAATTTCGAAAAATTGACCCTTATGACTGGTTTTGTGGTCCAGGGTCACATTTAAGGTAACACCTCATTTCAAATGGTCTTTGTTGTATGATATATGAATATATATTAAAAATGAGATTTGTGTAGATAGTTTAGATAATGAACTTTTTTACTTAAACAGTTGACCTAATATGTATCTTTGTTCATTTGTTTTATTTCTATTGTCAACTTTGTCCTTTTTTTATGTTTTTAATTTCTTAAAGTGTCTTGGTTCTATTTTATTATTAACTGTTTATGTAATAATACATTCTTTGAAGAACTTCAAGCAGCACTTACATAAATGAGAAATATTTAAAGGCTTCATGCTAGTTTCATTTCATTTGTTAATATTTATATTAATCATTTTTAAAATGAAGGAATGTTTATTATTTTTTGTTGTGATAGCCAGTTTAACTGTAAATTGTGAAACTTACCGGCGTTGTTATTGACTATTAATAATTGTATTATGATATAATTGATTCCTTAGAAATTGCTAATAAATTTCACAAATGATTACAGAAAATGTTAAGTTGGTTGGTTGGAGTTTTAAAGCAACTCCAGCTTCTTTGGCTATTTTCATGGCGAGTAACAAGTTGACAAAATATATAAAATGACGATTTACAAGATACATAAATGAAAAACTATATCAGGTTTTTAAAGCTTGCTTCAGGGTTGACTGTTAAACAAATTGGACAAAAAATTAACTTTTGCCTACTAAACGTTTCTCCAGCTGAACAGTTGCCATACTGGCAGAAAACAGTATTGAACGCACTGTACTTCGCATCCTTTCTCATCTGAAATATGGCGCTACCCCGACTGAGGCCTATGGCTCACTGTTCTGATACCCAGTGCTGCATTATTCATAAACATGAGCATTTGCACATGCATGCACATAACACGCACTCTTGCTTTCTCTGTATGGCACACAAAGACGAGTCTCTACGCTCAATAATTCAGCAGGGAGAGACGGCAGCTGGCCTCCCCCTCAACACTACTCCATAACAGACCCCACTGCACATGTGCACACGCTTAGACCTTGAGCGTATGGGTAACACGGGTGGGCGTCAGCAGAACGGACTGGCAGAAACTTCCAGATCAATTCACATTCATTCAAATTGCTCATCACTGCCTTGATGTCCCGGGCAGGTCTTGCACAAACTGGGGTGTGGTATATATATGTGTGTGTTTTAAAGCAACTCCAGCTTCTTTGGCTATTTTCATGGCGAGTAACAAGTTGACAAAATATATAAAATGACGATTTACAAGATACATAAATGAAAAACTATATCAGGTTTTTAAAGCTTGCTTCAGGGTTGACTGTTAAACAAATTGGACAAAAAATTAACTTTTGCCTACTAAACGTTTCTCCAGCTGAACAGTTGCCATACTGGCAGAAAACAGTATTGAACGCACTGTACTTCGCATCCTTTCTCATCTGAAATATGGCGCTACCCCGACTGAGGCCTATGGCTCACTGTTCTGATACCCAGTGCTGCATTATTCATAAACATGAGCATTTGCACATGCATGCACATAACACGCACTCTTGCTTTCTCTGTATGGCACACAAAGACGAGTCTCTACGCTCAATAATTCAGCAGGGAGAGACGGCAGCTGGCCTCCCCCTCAACACTACTCCATAACAGACCCCACTGCACATGTGCACACGCTTAGACCTTGAGCGTATGGGTAACACGGGTGGGCGTCAGCAGAACGGACTGGCAGAAACTTCCAGATCAATTCACATTCATTAAAATTGCTCATCACTGCCTTGATGTCCCGGGCAGGTCTTGCACAAACTGGGGTGTGGTATATATATGTGTGCACATATATGTTTTCTAGGGATGTTCATTTTAACCGTTTAACCGACCGTAACAATTTTGACCGATTAATACAATCAGTTAAACAGTTTTAAAAAATCAATTATTTATTTTTTCAGTAATCAGATATATTTATCATTAAATATTTAAAAAGGTTTGCTGCATGGTTAAAATATGCTACGTGTATAAAAAAAATGTGTTTTTAGGGGGAAAAAACATGTTGCGTATAAGTCGCATTTTATTGTTTCATTCAGAAATAGGCCTAATGCCGACGCGAAATGTTTACAAACATTATAATAAACACTGTAAACATAGCTAGGCTATTTTAGTTCCCCTCACTCCACAACAAATCATTTCAATTAACAGTATTTAGAAAAGAACAAGAATTAAAAATATAAGAAGCTATAGCAATATAAATGACAAGCCAAAACAAATTCATTTAGGCTAAAACGAAACTGAAACCAACGTTGGGTCTCTCATTCCACACAAAATCAAATGTTTTCGTATTCGCGATGTATTTGAATGGCAAATTATTATTTATTATGTAGCCTAGGCTTCACTCGCGTTCCAATATCCACATAAAACAAAATGTTTTGCATAACATCATGGCGGTGCTTTTTATTTTTGTTTCCATATGTTTGACTGACTGTATTTTATTATGATAATGAACAGGCTGCATTGTCAAGGTAGCAAAGCTTAACTGTGTGCGCGCATGAGGCGCCGGCGCAATCACTTGAGTTTTTTCCTTCTAACAGTGGAAGCACCTACTCCTTTTAGTCCTAAAGATAATCGCAATTGTAAAAGGTTTGCCTTTATTTCTGTACATTCACAATAAAAACAAATCTTTGTGCTTTTGTAAAATAAACCTAAAGAAAAATAGGATGCCGCTTTCTGTCGTCTGTTTCCTTTCGTGCAGCACAAATATGAACCGAAACTCTGCATACTAGGCTACTTGGTGCACAGTTTTTCTTTCATTTTCTAAATTTTTTAAGTAAAAATATGTTTCTCGTATAGGCCTATTTATTCGTTTTATATATATATATATATATATATATATATATATAAAACGGTTAAAAATCAGTTAACGAGCGCCGGTTGTCGGTTAGGAAAAATAACCGAAATGAATATCCCTAACGTTTCTAGATGGGTCTGAACGTGCAGTATGTGTGTCTGGGTGTATCCTAATCATTGAGTAAAGGTCACCACTGCCCTGTTTTCAATAACACAAAGGTGAAGAAAAAAATAGCTTGTGGTTAGAGATTTTAAATGAAACATATCTCTAATTGTGTAGCTTTGTGAGGAGCATTCTGATTTATGGTTTGTGCTCGGCTAATGATAAAAAGGCATAACAATCCCATAGAGTTACAATGAAGGAGGGACCTGCGCCATATCTAGAGATCAGAATATCATAAAGACTTGGAAATGGGCTCTTTTGACTTCAGCTAGTAGCAACCAACCATCTACAACTACCATCTGGCCATATGCTATCTGATCCAGCCTGATATTCGCTCCAGTCAGCCTCTCCACTCTGCTCTTCTGGAAAATGCACTCTCAGTAACTTCACTCCTCCTTTGCTGTAGTCATACTGCTGAGCTAAAGCTCTTTCGCTCATCTGGCTGGGCTGGCCAAGTTTTATTACCCATCCAGTGATTTTCAATGAAATGTAGAGGCTTTTAATGCATTGTTTGGCCAGAGCTTCACATCTGGGAACTTATGTGGATTTCCTCTCTGACAACTCAAGGAGAAGAAGAAGGAGAGAGAGAGAGAGAGAGAGAGAGAGAGAGAGAGAGAGAGAAGGATTAAGAGGTCTAGTGAAATTTTCCGCTACAGAGGCTAAATGACGCATTCACGCACACGCAGTCCCATGCAGCTTGGCACACGCCCCATACCTGCCAGAAGTCCTGCAGAGAGGGAGGGGTGCACAGAAAGGGGGAGGGGGGTCCATAGGGATGGATGGAGAAATAAAAAGATGGCAGAGGAGAGAACGACGGGGTTTATTGGTTAGATGGACACAGAAGAGCACAATTTAATCACTGTAACCACAAACGCAACAAAACAATTATATCCTTGATGAAAACAAAACAAACAATGCAGGACATCTTGATGCCTAGAGGAACAATGAATTCATGTGTTAAAAGAGATTGAACATAGATATACAGTTACATGTTCATACAGATAATTACATATTATCAGTGTTGGGGAGCAATCAGCTACAAGTAGTGATGCTACTAAGGTTGGGTGGGAACCAAGAGCCCTTTAATGTGAAAGACTGAAAAATGTTGTCTTGAACTCATAAGTTATGGGTTTGAATTGGTCTAACGGCTCACTCACTGACTGCACCAGACGGAACGAATCTTGGAAATCAACCACAAGTTATTCATTACATCCATTCTAAACATAAATTATATTTTATTGTGGATCTGAAGCAGTATTATGAAAGTTATTCTTATTCCCATATGCTACTAACGTAATAGTGTGACAGATAGTTAACAAGAACATTTTTAGTGACAATTTGTTCTCTGCAACCTCAAGATGTGGTCACTTTTACTTTAAATTAAATCTCACATCGATATTTTTGAGGGTGAGATCCAGTAATTCAATAGGAACACAAAAAGCATTCTTGTAGCTTCATAACATTACGGTTGAACCACTGATGTCAAATTGACTATTTTAAAGGGGTCATATGATGCAATTTAAAATTTTCCTTTCTCTTTGGAGTGTTACAAGCTGTTGTCTTACACTCAAGCTGTTGACTGTGAATAGATAAGATCCCTAAAGTTGCAAAGACTAAAGTCTCAAACCCAAAGAGATATTCTTTATAAAAGTTAAGACTGGTCCATGCCCTCCTAAAACGCCTCGTTTAAACACGCCCCCACATGTCTACGTCACTGTGTGGGAAGATTTGCATAACACTGCCCAAATGTTCACTCAAAGAAAGAAGGCGTAACTTTTATCCTCGCTGTAGTATTGTTGCCGCCGCCGCCATGTTGTGTAGACGCTGTGTGTTTCATTGTGAAAGCAAAACTACTTTGTTTGGTCTTCCAAAAGAGGACACAACTAGAAATCAGTGGTTAAGTTGTATTTACAAAACTGTTCCAGAACAGTTCAACCCAAATATTCAGATGTGTGCAGCGCATTTTATGGAAGAGAAACAATAATGTTCAGTATGTGGAAAATAATGTGTTTTTTGAACCTTAAACTGCACAAACACATTTCATTACACCAAATACACAACAATGCTCTTTTTAGCAACGTCATATGACCCCTTTAACAATGTCCTTACTACCTTTTTGGGCCTTGAACGTGCCAAAAAGCTCTCGGATTTCATCAAAAATATCTTAATTTGTGATCCGAAGATGAACAAAGGTCTTACGGGTTTGGAACGACAAGAGGGTGTGTAATTAATGACAGATTTTTCATTTTTGGGTGAACTATTCCTTTAAAGTATGAGATACAAAGTATGAGTTTCAAAGTAGCTTCCCCAACACTAACGTCATATTGTTGGAAAACATACATAGTGTTTGCAAAATGCCTGTGTGCATTAAAATGGGCTGAAGGGAATGCACACACACTCTCTCTCTCACACACACACACACAACCGGTTTTAGCTGTGAAAGTCACACTTGCAAAGCACCAGCTGCGATGACCTGCAAAATACTGTTGATAGATGATGAACAAGAAGGTTAAAAGTGCTGGTGTGTTCACACGATCGCAGAAAGCAAAACAATTACACAAGAGTGTTTGTTAGCATAGGGCACCAATGCGCTAACTTGCTAGAAATATGGTTCCTGGAATTGCATTACTCCATCCAGGATTTATTGGCCATGGCGACACGAGGAAGTGTGGAAGAAGAAGATGATCCAGCAGTCCTGCCGGGACACGAGATTTGACAGAGATATGGAAATGAAGAAACAACAAGACATATTCCACATCCCTAAGGCCAACAATACCCAAGGGAACAAAACGAGAACAAAAAGAGAGAGAGAGAGGGAAATGGAAATGGAAAGAGGGCATATACAAAACATGGAAATTGAATTTTGCCAGTAAATATCACAAAAACAAAGGCTATAGATCTAAGACATGTTACCTTATGCATTTATATAGGACTGAGGAATGAGTGAGTGACTGAGGTTTTACCATGGTTTCCACTAAAATTCAACAGCTACTATTGTGTGATCTCTTCAGATTATATAAGCTTACACAATCTTTTTGGTATGAGAGCAAAAGCCACAGTACAGTACTAATAAAAAAATATACTACGTTATTTGAAAGATACATTTATCATGGTAAAATTTTAAAGTGGAAAACCTACAAAGGCTCAATCAATGATGTTGGCTTAGGGGCAGGACTATCTACAGTATTTGTACAACCCTCAGCAGATGGGGGAGTGTTTGGGAAATCTGTTTAAAACTGGAGTTATTTTTCCAATTCCAATTGAATAGCAGAAATTAGGGCTGTGCAAATAATCGAATGCGATTTTCAGGCGCATCTCATCAGTAAAGCCGGTTCTGTGATTAGTAGTAAATCTCCAGCACGTGCTTTTAGATGGAGCGGCATTTACTACACAGAGATTTACTACTAATCACAGAACCGGCTTTACTGATGAGATGCGCATGAAAATCGCATTCGATTATTTGCACAGCCCTAGAAGAAATTAGTTTCTTATTTATTTCTTTGGATTTTGGAGTGAAATATGACTTGGACATGTTCTTGACAGGATGCTGAGATTTACCCTAAAAACTGATCAAGAAACAATCATGCGGAGTTACAAAGCAACTGTATAGCCTTGAGGATACTGAAACGTTATGCATCTTGAATGCACAGTGGATAGATAAAAAGAAAAACCTGGTGTGATTAGACTTCATTGAGAAACTGACGAGTGATTTATGAGAATTTGACCCGAGAATGATTCACCAACTCATTAGTACTAATGTGCAAACAAATACACCTAGTTAAAATGTGAGTGCGACCAGCACAAACAGTCATTAAGTGACCCAGCCCAGTCCAGAGATCAGCCTGTTCAAAGGTACACCTGTACCGTGACAGCCGCTCTCTGACCGGGTCATTTGACTAATGTTCCCTCTTAATGACTTTGGAAACAAGAGTCTGCTTCCTGTACAAGGAAAATGGGACAAAGTCCTGAAACCACAAACAACCCAGTGAAAATCATCAACTGAGACCATGTATGCTTGTGATATTGGTGGACTAAAGCCATGGTCACACTAGACTTTGAGCACCTGAAATTTCTAGGGATGCTGCAACTTTGTAATGTGATGTCACACTCAGCTCTATCTTTAAAAAAAGATGCAATCTACTCCACTTTAATTCAACACTGCAAACCTGCAGATTTAAAGTTTGTGTTCTTTTATTTCAGATAAGAGGTCACGCCATGATCACGCCAATTTTCTATTGATACAAATTTGCAGGGCAGAGCTGACCAAACTTGAAATTTGCAACACAGCAAGGTTTTTACCCAGGTAAGTTTGCATTAAGTTTGAAAAAAGGTGGGTTGGTTTTGAAACCGAGTTAACAGAGAACGTTTGTATCGAGCTTTGTGAACCTGTTCTAAATGGTCAATGGAACAAAAAGTGCAGTGTGACCGGCTCTTAAGGCCCATTCACACCAAGCACGATAACGATAAAGATATAGTTCTAAAAATCGTTCTCAATATTAAAGAATAGCATAGTTCACACCACAACTATAACGATAACGATACAGAGAAACGATATCGTTGTGATCACTTTCAAAACTATTTTTTTTCCAGCTGATGAACGATAAAACAGCCAATCAGAATCCATCCTGCTGTAACGAGCTCAAGAATTTAAAAAGGCAGACGCACGTGCGCTTAGAATAAACAGACGATATCGTTCGCTGGTGTGGATGCTAATATCGTTATCTTTATAGTTATCGTTCTTGATGTGAACGGGGCTTTATGCTGCGTTCACGCCATGTCGTAATTACGAGATGACAACACGTGACATTTTACTCATAGCTTTCCATGTCCTCGGACTAAGTGAACCTGGCAGCGGTTACGTGGTACAGATGTCACTGGTCCAAGTCATAACTCTCAGAACATTCAGAGTTTACAAGTTGTAATAACGAGGTCTGGAGCACATGAGGGCTTTGGCGTTGATAGTGTTGCCATAGAAACACATAATTCAGCTCCGAGTAGAATGTCTCATGTTGTCATCTCGGAATTACGGTAATTACGACATGGCGTGAATGCCCACCTGAACCAGCTAATTGATATCTTCAGGAACACTCAATAATTAAAGAGGGGCTCTTTGTTCAGGGATGGAACTGAACTCTGCAGAATGCAGATCTCTTCCGGAAAACAACTTTTTCTTTTCTTTATTTTTTTTGAAGCATTATGTTTTGATGCCTATTTTGCTTAGTATAAATAACAGTGTTTTGGAACAACTAACTAAACGTAGCGACTACTTTTTCTAGCGACATTTTTTCATAGCGTAAGAGTAGTTCAGCGTTTTTCAAAGTAGTACAGTATATAAAAAAAAACTATGTTTGCTACAAATATGGCTCTGATTACAAATTAGAAATTATATTATTTGATATATATTTTAAGTAAACTATGTAAAAATATAAAATAGCTTCTATGTAATTAGTTTTTTCCCCCCAGCAGCTTGCAAAGCTCTCTTATTTGTCTCTATATTTAATTATAAGAGACTATATTTAATTACTTTAAATAACAATTTACATGTAGTCATTTAGCAGACGCTTTTATCCAAAGCGACTTACAAAAGAGGACAATGGAAGCAATCAAAATCAACAAAAGAGCATGTTTTTACATAATTACACTGTAGCTTGAAGATCTATGGATTCCCCCACACATTTTTTATTTGAAAAAAGTACTGACTTATAATATCGGAAGCATCTGTTCTCTAAAATAAATGATCTGCTATTGGTTTTGACTAAAAATCTGTGCTATTCTGTTACTAGAGGACAAAACAAAACAGAGAGGCCAAGTATTTGAGGTAGGGCTGTGCGATATTTAAGAAAAATGCGATATGCGATAACTCATTAAATAATGCGCTATTCGATATGCAATACGATACGATAATGCTTAAAGTGCCACATGTTCAGATGAAACAGTTTTACTCAGCTGTTGCTGAGTCAGTTCTGTGAACTTCTATAACTATCTTGTGTCATAAATATATGGTTATTTGTATGTATGTATGTACCAAGAGTTCCTGTAAAACCACAACAAATGATGAGTAAAGCTCATTCTGATTCTGATTCTAATATAACTAGCATACATGTTTCACTTTTTGTGAGAAGAAAGCGCCCCTACAACAACTTCTGAAAGTGAACGGTAGTGTTTTACTTGAGCATTACATAAAAATGTTATTTTAACATGAGTTTAGGAACTGAATAATAAAAAGGAAAAATACAACACTGCTTAGTATTTACTCTATGAATTCAATATGCACTGATTCGTATTTAAGATACAAAAGTTATTTAGGTAAGAGCAGTGAGTGATTTTCTCTTTGTCTTTTGTTCATGGCCCCAAATATTGCAAGCCGTAGCGATATGCATATTGCGATATGTACATTTGCGATATTTCGATATATTGCACAGCCCTAGGAGGCAAGGATAGACACAGCAGAGGTGTGTTTAAAGATTGTAACCTAGAGACATCAAGAACAAAGAGATGCAACATGAACCAGAAAGCACAGATTGGAGGCAGATCAGTCTTTCATAAATTACAGAAAACACACATGACAACATAAATGACAACAAATGACCCTGATGAGAATGTATGTGTAACTCGTCATGCAAAACGTTTCAAGCGTGCAACGAGTTTTTTAGACTGCACAAGAGTGACCATCTCAAAGCGTGCTCACGACTGAGCTGTGGATGAGTTTCTGTGGGGAGAGAGTGAAAGATTTTTATGAAGAGTGAATGAGAACAAATGTCTCCATCCTGCGTCATCCTGTCGAGCTGCACAATGGCAAAGTAACTATTCGGTTCCCACTCACTCACCCACATATGCACACGCACACAGATCAGGCTGCTTACCTTTCCATCAAAGCGTTTCACCACAAACTGATCCAGACCAAGGTCTGTAAGAGAGAGAGACACAGAGAGGAAGACACAGTCAAACACACTGGCTCTGCTCCAAAACATACACAAATATTGGATAAAATATGCAATTTTATCAGACTAAACTAAATTTGGATACTAAATGACTGTATATACTACCAGTGAAGATTTTGGAATAAATAAGATTGAGTAATGTTTTTAAAGCAAGTCTCTTATGTTACCAAGACTGCATTTACTTGATCAAAAATACAGTAACTCCAGTCTTCAGTGTCACAAAATCTTTCTAATATAATGATTTGGTGCTTAAGAAGCTTCCTTATTCTTACCAAAGACGAAAACAGGTTTTTTTCCCCCCACTAAAGTTCAATAAACATTCTTTATTTGAAATAGAAACTTTTTGTAACATTAAAAATGCCTTTACTTCACTTTTGATCAATTTAATGGGTCCTTGCTAAACAAAAATATGATTTTTTATTTTTAATCTTCCTTTTGAATGGTGGCGTATCATGATTAAATACGCAAACAAATCAAGCAATGTTTTCAACATTGATAATAATAAATGTATTTTATTAGCAGCAAATCAGCATATTAGAATCATTTCTAAAGGACCACGTGGCATTGAAGAGTGGAGTAATGATTCTGAAAATTCAGCTTTGATCACAGGAATAAATTACATTTTCAAATATTTTCAAATAGAAAACAGTTATTGTAAGTTGTAATAATATTACTGTATTTATGATCAAATAAATCCTTGGTGAGTACAAAAATGTTTTCTTTCAAAAACATAAAAAAAATAATTGTCTCAATACATTGTTTTCTCTACATGCAACGATGCTTTAGAATGTGGTTAAAATGCATGATCATGCCGTCTGTTTTGGAATGGCTTTCTCTGTGTTAAAGTGCCTATGAGGACTTGCTGACTAAATAGCCAACTCACTAGATTTTGAAGGGAGCTTTTATCACACATAAACAAGCCTATTTATAAACCCATCTTTGAATCCCTGTAGTCATTTACATTTATAGATGTCACTACAGGAACTGTACGATTACTGACGTATATGAGTGATTAATATAAGCTGTTAAGTCTCATTTCCATGTTCCAGAAGTTCCAAATAAATGTCAGAGTGGTTCAGCATCGAATCGTTTCTCCATTAATTATTATTATTAATATATATATTGGCTGAAATGAGCTGAACAGGACAGACTCTGCTGATCTAGAGTCAGCTTCATGAGCCAAGACTTTATCCATTGTGCAATCCATTAAAGGAACCACAAAGGATTACCACAAAAAATTATTTACACTTGTCCCTAAGTTAGTAAACACAAGCGTGCACTTACAATGGACATCTATGGAATGGGAAAAGTCTCTAATGCTCAACCAGGATGCATAACTTTGATCAATAATACAGTCTAACCAGCAATACTGTGAAATATTATTACAATTGAAAAAAAACAACAACTATTTTCTGTTTGAATATATTTGAAAATTTAATTTATTCCTGTGATCAAAGCTGAATTTTCAGCATCATTACTCCAATCTTCAGTGTCACATGATCCTTCAGAAATCATTATAATATTTTGAGGGAAATACATTTTTTTCTTTGTGCTAAAACTGCTTACCGCTTACTTGATTAATAGAAAGTTAAACAGAACAATATTTATTTAAAATATAATTTGTTTTGAACATTGTAAATATCCTTAATACCTTAATGCAACCTTGCTGAATAAAACTGTTAGCCTAAATATATATATATATATTCAAATGATTAATCGAGATTAATCGCATACAAAATAAAAGTTTTTGTTTGCATAATGTGTGTGTTCTGTGTATATTTATTATGTATATATAAATACACACACATGCATGTATATACAGTATATACACTGAAAATATTTACATGCATTTACATGTCCATATTTATATTCATATAATTTATATTTTAAATAAATATATTTAATATATAAACATAACATATTTTTCTGAAATATATACATGCATGTGTGTGCATTTATATATGCATAATAAATATACACAGCACACACACATATATTATGCAAACATAATTTAAGTTATTATAAGATGAATAATCATTTCTATTAAATTCCAAATAAAATGCATAATAATCACAAAATGAAAATGCATTTTATTTGTCTTTTATAAGCATTAAAATGGCTGGATTATTATCAGAAGTTGCATTCTCTTGCCATAAAACATCTGAGTGACAGGCGAGGAGACGACTGAAAAGCTGGGCCTAATTCCTGTTTGAAGCCCGGACAGCCTTTGAGCTGAGCATATCTCTCTAATTCTGCTGCTGAAACAGGATGAATTATGGAACAGCTTTCCTCGCAGCCAGATGAATAATGAATTTTATGTTCACTTCCTCACTCTCCCTTTTCTTTACAAACACTCTTCTCTCCCTAAAGGAAAGCCAGACTCTTTAAACTAACTTAAATGACATCACAAACCGCTTCAGCACAATGTGGGTCTCCTTACATCCCACCCACAAGTGTAAAAGCAGTAAGAAACACACTTTACAGCGAGGGATGACTTTTTCTGAATGACAGTACAGCGTGCTGCTTGTGCAGGTACATCGCACAGCAGACAAATACCAGCTAACAGATTCTCGACGCAAACACGCTTTAATCAAACAGTCAGCGTTTCTCCGTGAAGCGCAGCTGCTCTGGATGTCAGACGATCTCCACTATGAAAACATCCAACCCTCATAACATAAACGACAAAAGGGCTCAGCAAAAACTGTGACTTCATCATAATGGGTGCCACACATTATTCAAGAGCTCTTGCAGCAAACAGTTATTTTTTGCTATGTTTACACAAGGGAACTGTGTTTGGCCCATCAGGATAACAAAAAAAACGGACAAACACTTTATCCAAACCCAACGAGGCACTAAACTCTAATAAAGCTGGTGAAACTGCTCTTTGTAATTACATTTACAGGGCATTTGGCTAGGAGGAGAATGGATGAATGGCCGTCCATCCAAGTGTAACGTACTAATTTGAGCCGTCTTCCACTCTATTTCTGCTATACGCTAGGGTTGTGACGGTGAGGAAATTTTCCCACTGGTAAATCGACATGTGACAACACCGGTATCCCCACAGGGGGTGGGGGCGTTCCCTCTTTTCCTCGCTTTCCTTCGCTTTTAAATAGCTTGTAAGTGCGCAATTTACTTTCACTTTCAAATAGCGGCAATTCGGAGTAAAGGAATTGTTTGTTTTTAGTTTGTTTGAATTTCCCCTCTTTTCCTCGCTTTCCTTCGCTTTTAAATAGCTTGTAAGTGCGCAATTTACTTTCACTTTCAAATAGCGGCAATTCGGAGTAAAGGAATTGTTTGTTTTTAGTTTGTTTGAATTTCCCCTCTTTTCCTCGCTTTCCTTCGCTTTTAAATAGCTTGTAAGTGCGCAATTTACTTTCACTTTCAAATAGCGGCAATTCGGAGTAAAGGAATTGTTTGTTTTTAGTTCGTTTGAATTTTCCCTCGTTTAATCTCTTTCCTTGGCTTTTAAATAGCTTAAAAGAGCCGTGCGCATTTTACTTTCACATTCAAATTAGCAGCAGTTTAGTTTGTTTGAATTTTCCCTCTTTTCCTCACTTTCCTTGGCTTTTAAATAGCTTAAAAGCGCAGTGCGCATTTTACTTTCACTTTCAAATTAGCAGCAGTTTGGCGTCAATTGCTTGAATGCAACAACAAAATGTCAAACTCACTTTAGCGTATATATAAAACATAGAACTTTTATTAACAAAACGAATAAAAATACACCATGCTATAGGGCAGGCTATGCCTAATATAAAATAACAAATAACTTACATAAAGTTTAAATGGGTATACAAAACTGGAAATAAGTAAACATGTATAATATATAACCAAATAAATAAGAAAGTAGAACGTTTATCAGCAAAACGAGTAAGAAAGCTTGGAGGCACGGCATACACCTTGATGCCAAATAAAATAAATAAATGACACAAAGTTTAAATAAAGTAAAAATCAGCAAACACTGTGGAACCAATTAAATAAGAAACAAATCAGATAAACGGCAAAAGTCAACAGGCTTTTCAAAATCCAAAATATTGCCAAACAGGCGCTTTTGTATCTCGTTTCGAAACTAAATCATCCGCGATCGTCTTGTCTGTCTCACCTCACTCTTGTTGTCAGTCAGCTCGACTCGCTCTCCTCACTGGAGAAATGAAATCTGATCTGTGATGCGACTGTCGTTCGGCACGCTGCATTCAGTTTTTAATTGTAGTGGCTGTTCTTTTACTGAACTAAATGATTTTTATTACTATAAAAAATCAAAACGACGGTGGTGGTTGGTGTTGTGGTGGGCAAGTGACGTAACCGGTGTTGAGGCTTAACACCGGTATCACCGTCAGCACAGTCTATCGCGGAAAGCCTACTATACGCATAACGCTCCACACTCTTATACACCCACATACACAATCACACAGTCCTGGTACTCACTGTCTTCCATTCTGAGAGAATGGGAATTGTAAAGAGAATCTCGACTGATTCAGCATTGCTGTAGAGCATGGCGCTTGCAACGCCAAGCTCGTGGGTTTGATTCCCTGGGAATGCTTGAACTGAAAAGATGTACAGTTCAGATGCAATATAGGTCACTTTGGATAAAAGCCCCTTCCAAATGCATAAATGTAATATAACGTAATTTACTGTTTTTGCATTCCTGTAGAGCAAGGTCATGGGTTCGATTTCTAGGGAATGCATGAAGTGAAAAGATGTTCAGCTCAGATGCAATGCAAGCTGTTTTGAATAAAAGCCTCTTCCAAATGATTAAATGTAGATAAAATGTAATGTAACAAATAAAGCCTCTTCCAAATGAATAAATGTAAATGTAATGTAATGTTTACTGTTCTAATATTCCTGTATGCTGGGTGATATGATGATATGGTGCGATTGATGATGTAGAGATTTTGCTATATCGTTTACCACAATAGATATATTAACGCAATGGGCAGGACTGTGTTATTTGCACATGACAGACGAAGAG